GACAAAAGTTGTTTATTTTTCTTCCTTTTTTAAGACAAGAGACCATATTTGATGATCCTCATTCGTTTGGTTTTGCATTAATTGGAAAAACGTTGTGTTACAAACAAACTTCACACTCTTCAGTTTTGAAGATTGTGCGCCTTGTCCTCGACAGGGTGGGGGGAGGAAGGGGGGCGGGAGGGAGGGGGTACATAACTAAGTTCAGTATACGGGGAGGCTCCGCCCCGTTGTCCCACCCCTTATCCGTTTACATACCAAAGATACCCCTTTCTACCTTTTATTGACAAATGGTACCCCTTTCACATACCTAGTTTAGATAACTTTAGAAGACAAATTGAATTCCGCAAGGCTGATCGTACTAGGTGCAAATTAACTTTGCAAGACATCAACATGACACCGATAGAACCCAAAACAGATTGAGGTTGAAGCCGTCGACAGCTATTTCGCAATTATCGTGGCTCACCCGGACGGCGCAACAACAAAAATACCCGCAACAACGAAAATACCCGCTCACTCTGTTTTAAGAATCCTAACATTGAACCCCAGCCCACCAATTCACGCCATATCACGTGTCTCCGGGAGGGCAAGAGTCCTAGTGTCGCCTTGATGTGTAGGACGGCCAAAACTCACTGCCTTATAAATAATAAATAATAAATAAATAAATAAATCACAGACCCGAGTTTCTTATTTTTTTGACAGCCATAAAATGCATCTGTTATCCCTTTTCTTTTACCGACCAAAATCCCAGATTTTCCTGCTCTTCCATGTACCTAAACAAGTGAAATCCCTACCCTTTCATATACCTGAAACCTGAAAAAGATACCTCTTTCTGGCGGAGCCTTCCCGTATAGGCCATTATGGGGAGTAACCCCTGGATCTTGTCTAACTTCTGCAAAGATTTGTTTAAAGAAACTAACGCCATCTTACAAACTTACCTAGTGACGAGATGGTCAAGTAACTCACGAAAGTTTCCATCTGTGTCAGGCAAGTAAGCGGTTCCGCCGTTGATGTTCTTATATACTAGTATAAACTCCCCGCCAGCTGTTATGGTATTGATGGCACCTGTGATAGAGCTGTGTGAAGATGAAAAGAAAGAAACATTAACATTGGCAAAGATATTATAGCAACGTTGTTGTCCTGCTCAAAGATTTAACTACTAAGTATTCATCCAAGGATAGTTCAACATAAGAGTATGTATTTGCATACTTTGTTGCATTTTTCCTTCCTTTAACTGCATTCTGAACAAAAGCAGTTTAACGTGCTCGATCAAGCGGAAAAAATGTAGTCTACGAGTAATTTTCTTCTGAAAATTCAGTATAAAGTACAGCCAAAACCAGGTCAAAATACCAAGATTCAGAGGTTGTTGAGGAGCCACGGCTATTCTGGGAAAAGTCAGGACACCCGTTCAAAGATAATTTATTGCAAACACTTTCTAATGTTTCTAAAAGTTACGATCAGGTTCCGATGCTTACAGTGCCATGTTTTGGGTGGCTCTGAGTCATACAGAAATCCAGCGGACTTGGAGATTATACCGTTTCAAGGACTTATCACCCGGAGCGAGCAACTTACATGTTAACTTACATGCGCTCATGTAATCTCGTACCCAGATCTCACTCTGTCGCACGCTGCCAGTGGGAGATCTGGGTACGAGATAAGCGCTCGTGTCACGGCTTTTTCGCGGACCAGTTTTTTCTTAGAACAGTCTTTGCGCGAATTTTGAATACCTTTTAAATTTTACAAACCAGTCAGCAAAACCGACAGACCTTAAAATGATATTTTTTTCACCTCTGAATAACGTTTAGCTTTCCTTTTTGATATCTTATACTTCGAATGCGCTTATACATAGACATAGTGAAGATTCTATTTTCGCTGGAGAAAGTGCCCTAAAATGTGTCTAAAAATAAACTGGTGCGTAAAAACGCTGTAACATTGGCATAGTATTCAGAGTTGCTCGCTCCTGGTTATGGGCTTCCGACCATTTCTCAAGTGGTCGCTTCAAAGAGGTTAAAAAAAAAAACAATGAAATTTGTACTGAATACGCCTGTGTTCACAGGCTAATTAAGTAAAGGTAGAAATGGAGTATTTGTTAAACCATATTACTTACTCAATTCGGGTGCCATACACGTCTCTGCAATACGCGTAGGAGTTAATTACAACAATTTGCTGGCCAAATCTGTTTTGTCCTTTGGAGCAAAATCAGTAAATAGAAAACTGTTAGAAACAGAATCAAAAATAAAAACTAAATCCTATTTTTGAAAGGATAAAAAGAGACGGGGCATAATTTAATAATCCAGCTGTAGCACCAAGAACCGGGAAAATTCTAAATTTGTTTTAAGTCAATCAACCTCAATGATACAATCATATTTTAATAGTGGTATTCACTCAGTCTTTGACTATTGTATCTCTTTCTCCATTGTTCCTAACTTTTTACTCGCTTTAGCACCTCCTCTAAACATTTCTCAAGTAGTCGTAATTTTTATGATATTTGGCCTCCTCTCTCCCTTCCTCTCCCCCCGACAATTTTGCTAAATTACCCCCCGGCCTCTCCAAAACACTCTTTCTGATAACAATCAAGGGAAAAGAAGTACTTTTCTGCCGGGCTACAACTATAGAGAGAGCTTTACCTCCATAAGCCAGGCAGGCGGGTAGATAAGCTTGGTCTCTTTCCCCAGCCATAAAACTGATGGATGAAAAGTCACCAAGGCCTTGATAAGCCTTGGTGCATTTTGTGGCTGGGATGGCCTTGGAATAGGCAATGACCGTGTCTGGCTTAGGAGGACTTGGGGCTGTTTCAGTGGCCACGCTGGCGAAAACATCAGCGGCGGATGAGGACGCAGAGACAGTTGGAATCTATAGAAAGAAAATTAAGACGCTAAGTCCGTCTATTAAGCTATTTTAGATTCGAGGAAAAGGACTAATACAAGGACGACTTTAATTTTTCGTTTTCTCGCTTATTCTCTAAAAATAGACCCCCCCCCCCGAAAGCAACATGGTGTTTTTTGTTTTGTTTTGTTTTGTTTTCACCAAAAAAATTTAGTTTGCTTATTTCCGTTGAAGAAGGTAAAGCGCTCACCCGATGTTTTCGCCACTAGAACATTGTTTCTAAAATTTGTAGTAGAATGACGACGCTATCACGTTTTCCCGCCAAAATGACGTTAGTTCTCACGCGCGCGTTACTTAGTATCAACCAAGGATAATCCATGGTATCTACTTAATATTGGGAGAATCTCGTTCTCGTGCTATTGTCCTCGTGTTAGAATCTAAAGCTCTGTAACATTGCGACATAAAAAAAAATACTTTATCAAATAAGTATCTTTTGCGCTATCAGCACCAGGTGGGAGCTTGGGTAGCTTAAACGGCCCCGGCCGGAAGAGTGAAGCTATGTTCAAACTATAGCCGGGATAGTTTTTATCATCCCGCATAGGGCATAGCAGGGGTGATTTCGGTGCGATTTCTGTGACGGAGCGAAGCTGCGACGCGCCGATCTCGAAACTGAGTGGAGCGTCACATATCGGATTGGTTTTGTGCCATACTTTGGTGCAGTGTGAATGTCTTTTCGGACCGTCGCGGAAGTTAATGGACCTTACGATCTACAGTGGCGACGTCCATGAAAGCGTCGCTGAAAAATATACTTCGCCTCCTTTCAAATTATTTCGCGATTATCCCAAGTTGCCCTGTTATTTATATTAAGCCGGATTTTCATATGTCGGGAAAGTCCCAGACGATCAGGGTTTTTACTGTTTCCCGACTGTCGCAGATTTTGCTGACTAATGAAAACGTAGATATCCCCGATCTGGGATGGACACGGACAAATCTGGAGAATCGGGAGCGTTTCTATTTTCCCGACGCGTTCCAGATTTGCGTGATGGTCGGCAATCATTTCCGACAAATGAAAACTCAAATTTGTTTCGTCGGGGAAGTCGGCGATAGATTTTTATCTCAGTGTTTTTGTCACCTTCTTCATTTTCCAGATTAGTTTTTAAGTTGTTCAAACCTGTATTAAGCGGTCATTTGGCCATTTCCCAAGCTCAGTACAGGTTTGACTGGAATGGTAATAGGAACTCCCGCGCGAGGACTATTTGCGGCTCATGCCAATTTCATGTCTGCGATCCGATGTGCCCTGTGTGGGTATGTCTAGAAATTTTAGATGATTTTTATTTTATGAAGGGACTTATTTCATATATTGTTACATCTTTTGCCTTTGGAATTTGTTTGAGTGAGGTTTGGGCCTTAAAGGAAATTCTGGAGGCGCATTATTTCGGTCTTATTCGCTCCTCATCGTCGAATTGATGAAATTTCACACTTGACAGAAAATTTACCCGCGTTCCTCCCATTTGGCCATTTGTGCATAGTGTGCGATTTACTCTAGTCATTGTACAGTCCACACTATTCATGTACTGTTTCCAAAGGGTTATTTCCAAACTGAGAAGTTTTTTCCGTTCTAGGATCATCTGCGACAGTGTGCTTTGGCTGCCCGCAGCAGATACGAGTAACCATCGCCGACAATATAAACTGACCGCAAAGGAAAGAAAGACCTAACTTGCACAAAAACTAAAGAACTAGAAAAATAAACTCTTTTAATACGCATTCATTTTCTGGTTCCAAGAGCCACAAAAGGAAACTTCGATTTTTCAAACAATTTATTTACTTTATGTTGAAGTCGTACTCTTTCGTCGTTTCGCTAAGTATTAATATTTATTTTTGGAGGCGTATTCTTTCTTCAACTCCTAATATAGTCTTCACTCTCGTTTTTCCACGCAGTTTTCGGCCACCGGAATTGTTTGCAGTCCTTCATGTTCATGTTCCTCTTGGCTTTCGCAGCGCATGGCAGAGGGATTATTTCCGGCGCACGCCAGATCTCGCGCGAAATTTATCGTTGTATAGTTTGGGCGCGCGCGCGCGCGAATACTGACGTCACAAAGGCTTTTCCTTAACTGTTGAAACAAACAGTTTGAGATAGATACGACGCTAAACTTCGAGTTTTATTCTCATTTTTTAATCACCATTTTATCAACACTTCATATCTGCTCACCTTTTGCTTCTTTGGTAGGCGCCGCAGGCATTTCTTACTCATAGCACAACCCATAATGAATATATTGATCACCAAAGTGACATAAGTCTGAATAGCACTCGTTAGCAACAAACTGACTGGTTCTGACGAGTACACGCCTGTTATACCCGCGTGTACGCGCCATTGTTTGCGTCATTTAAAGCTGACGACAGCCCTTCAAATCAAATTAACACGCCCTGATTGGCTGATTCGGAGCTGCCAGTGTCACCGTTGCTAAGAGGCAAAAACGAATGGAAATCTCCAAGGAAACGATAATAAATCTCCTATGAGGTCGGAGAAAATATGATTTTCTATTTCACACTGTTTCAAGTGAAAACAATCAAAAGGTCGGTTCTGTTAAAACGTTACACACATTTTTAGCCTTAATTGTGATATCGTATGTCCCTAAAGCTGTTAATGAATTTAAAAACAAATGTATTGCTGTAACGCACTTATGAGTTTCTGGTAACGCTGAATTGAGTTCGTATTCAGCTTACCAAGGGATCATATTTTGTCTAACGTTATAGTTTTTATTTTCCCCATTTTTACGAGCTTGGTAAAAGAAAAAATTGCTGGGTATGCGAACAGCGCGAGTTGCTTCTTTTGCGTCAGATCAGAGAAAGCGCGAGATCCAAAGTTTGTAAAAACAAAAACTGACTTGTTTCAATGTTAATGTATTCATTAAGACTAAGAACAAATGTTAAACTGCTTTGACGTCCAGAGAGATACTGTCCTCTCATTTAACCAGGTTTGGAAAGGCATTCTCGGGATCCGGAATTTGACGAAACATAGCGCGAGATCAGGGAAAACGCAAAGTTTCTTGAAGAGATACGTGATTTGATTGCTACTTGGGAAGCAGGATCCGGGATTTGACTCAAATATAGAGCGGGTTTCGAGAAAACGCAAAATTTCTTGACGATATACGGACGGGATTTGATTGCTACTCGGGAATCGGGATCCGCGATTTAACTGAAATACAGCGCGAGAATCGGGAAAATGCAAAATTTCTTGATGGGGTACGGGATTTGACTGCTACTCGGAAAGTGGGATTCGGGATTTGACTGTGATATAGCGCGTGATTCGGGAAAATACAAAATTTCTAAACGAGATACGGGCTTTGAAAACTACTTGGGAAGCAGGAATAGAGATGACTGAATTTCGGGACGCGATGCGGTATTAAGACCACCCTTCCAGACCCTGTTGACATGGCAAACAGATTCTGCTGAAATTCCATGCAATAGAATAAATTAGTTAGTTGTTCTCTTAATTAGCTCGTCAATCTCGGCTGATCTGAGACATTTCCACATTGAATTGTCCAACTCATGACATATTCCTTTCCAATTGAAATGTGTCGGTGGGTCACTATCTTGGTTTCCCTTCCTGTACTCAAAATAAGGGCTCAATTCGATGGCAAGGCTGGACTTGATGAGCGCAACACCACCAACTTTCTCAGGACCTGGATGATAAATTCTCCCACTCTCTGGTAGCATACAGATCTTTTCTGGTTGAAATGGAAATGTTAAATTATCGCCAATACCACTGTAAGTCAACAATCCTGGAGACTGGTTAGCACTGACATCGGAATCTTCGATGATTGTTGCAAAAACAACTGGTAAATCATCACAGCGAATGTAGTTCATTTCCTTGCCGCACGGGGAAACAAATGGGAAATCCTCTGTGTATCTTGTTGTCTGGTTTTGTTTCAATCTCTTGAAGAAAAACTTGAGAAACTGTTTGTCTAAAAATTCAAAGAAATGGTGAACTCAGTTATATCAGTTTTGAAATAATATAAGGCTGTGGAAAATAAATGAGATATGTTGCTAATAATTTTACGATAGACAGCATTAAAGACAAAACTAGACCTCCTGTTAAGTCCATCTGTCAGCTGGTGCTGCAATTCTTGTTCTTTGCCCTAACCGTGTATCAGGATTTGATTCCACACCACGGTTGGCTTGATAAAAAAAGCCATGGTTCAATTGGTTAATCCAGTGCCGGATACAGACATTGAAATAAGCAGGGGGCCCTGTCATTCAGACCCTAAGATAAGGGGGGAGGGCTGTCTCCCAAAAGAATTTTTTTGGCCTTTTGGGCCTCAGTTTGGTCCAAATATAAGGGGGGGTGGGCCCCTCCCCTGGATTCGCCACTGTAATCAGGTTTAAGGGGAAATTCAAAAAGCACTGCTGGTAATTCATTGAATCCATTAGGGACCCAAAACAAGGATCTTGGTACTGCTTTGCAGACGTGGTTAACCAGAGATAGGTTACATCTGCAACATGGACTAATTTTATGGATACAAACTGACTTGTACATGTACCTTTAAAGCAGGTAATAAAGTTCTTCACTTTGGTGTCATCAAGGAATAACTGAAAGACATGTAGAAAAAAAAATGATCAACTTTATCATTGGATTTAAACATATTATACCTTCAAACTTCAAATACTTCAGTATATTATTTAGTAATGATCAAACTTTATTAATACTGACTCCAAAGTGGCTAAGCCATATGGACATCTACATAGATTCCCATATTAATTACAGAGGTAGGGGTTTTTAGGTAAGGGTTGTATGAAGTTGTTGCGAGTTGGACATCTTTGGAAAATTAAATGAAATGTCTGTGAATGAGAGGTGTTGCCGCGATATAGAGGAGTCCAGAACATGCTATTCTTAATCTCTTCAAGCACTGTTTTCAGTAATAAGCCTGTAATTTCAGTAATTAGCCTGTGTCACAGATGTAATCTAATGCCAGTTGGTAACATCTATGAAGCAATGCTAATATCCTAGTTCTGGGCAATAAGAAGACTCAAGGAATTACTGGAAATGCATTTCGAATTTCTCTAAAATCTGATTGCAATTCCACAATGGCTTTTTTAACGAGCCAATCATGGTGCATACGCAAACCTTGGCAGACAGGTGAGGGCCCAGAACAAGGATTTCAGTGCTGTTTTGCAGAAGGACTTTGCAGAAATTTAGTTCCGTCTGTGACACAGGCTAAGGCTTTTTGAAGTTGAATCTGATTCAATTTCAGTACAGTAAAAACGTAAAGATCAACTTAATTTTAAGAACCTGTCATCAGTTGAATTCTGAGAGAAACTCATAAGAGGTTGTTTCTGACAAGTGTTATTAAGTGCTCCTAGCCTAGTGACAGCTCTGGCCATATCTCACAACACCTTCACTGATTTTATTCACATGGGATGTAAAAGAACGACTCTGGATGCACATCACCAACCCAAGTGTCCATCTGTGACGGACTGAGGGGTTTGGTAGGGGCGGCCCTTCCCGCTAGTACCCATTCCCCCCTCCACCAGCTGGGTTAGGTCAAGGGGGTAAAACGTTAAGCTGGGAAAACACAACTGACATACAACAAAAACTGTAATCATGAGTGGTTATTACCTGTCCTTGGTGATCAATGTAATAAAAGTACTCTCGAACTTTTGGAGATGGTGACTGTCCCTGAACATAAGAAACGGCCGCGGAGGAAACCAGACGTTGCATAACATGACGTAACGGCATAACCCGTCGACCCGTTTCACGACAACTGCGTGTAAATAGAGCTAACATGGGGATAAAGGCACTTCTACCAGTTACTTTTAAGTTGAAGAATTCCTTCTTTGCTAAAAATGATGCTTACAACGCCGTGATAGATGGGAGTAACGCTCTTCACTTCAGTCAACCCTTATCTCTTGTGTTTTGGTTACGTAGAGTGACCGCAATGTACTGTGGGTTAGTTTTACGCATGCTCTTTACACGGGATTCGCTGAATTGCTAATCAGAAGCGGGCGCGAATTTTGCCCAGTTTATAATTGTCAAGCTACCTTTAGCCGTGTTTCAAATACTCCACTGTTTGTTTTTCTGAAAAATAACACCTTAAACTGACGTTTTATTCAAATTAACATGTGATAGTGCCGCCTTGAAGCTATGGTCTTGGAAATAACTGCCTGGAAGCTGTGAGCGAAGTTTGAAGAAAATGGCGGCACAACATAAACGATCATGGAAGCTTCGTAAGTAGACGTTATTACCGGTGTAAATTTCCACAGTTGGTCTACACTGTTATACGGTCCCATGTAGCAGCCTGCATTATTTAACACAGTTGTACATCTAGTGTATAAATTCATTAAGCAAACTTAACTGAGATAAATAAGTGTGGGCGCTGAAATCATGTCGCGACCATGTGTCCCCTAAATTATCCACTGTGTGGGAGACATAGACAGCTTGTAAGCTTAGATTAAGAAAATAAACTTAGAAGAACTTGATAGTTATCAGGGTAGATAGGTTATCATCCCTAGTATTTTTAAAACTATGATGTGGTACTATTTTGTGAGCTTACGGTTAACTTTGACTTACAACCGGCTATCTTTCCTACCTTAATGAATTTTAACGTAGTTATGGTTCTAAAGACTAGAAACATTAATATGCCTGCGAGATATTGTTTTTTGCCTAAATGGATTATTTAACGCCTTGTTTGCTTGGTGATATCTGTCTTAATTAGCAACCGGAAACAATTCTCAAGACGTAGAAAATAGACGTGAAAATGAGGTTGTAGTGAGGTTAAATATAAAAATTTGAAATGCTAAAACAAGCTTTGACGGCAGGCTAGATACGTAGCAAGTATTAAACCTTAGGGCAGATTGTTAAAAAGAGACTTAAAACAATTATTTTGTTATTTCACTGACTTCATGATATGTTACAAGTTTCATTCATGTGTTACTTTGTAAATACCCTCACAATATGCATGTACAAAACATGCCATGCATGGCGTATTATTAAGTGAATCAGTGAAACTGTCATTAATAATTTAATTTTTGTGGGATTAAAAATGAATTCTTGGAGTTTGTCATAACGTTATTGTGGTAGTTTTAATTGTTTCTCAAAACAAATTACTAAAAAATTTGTTCAAAATTATGTTGAAAATATGTGCATATTTTACACTGATAAACCTTCACAAATGTGTCAGATGTAAGCTGTTTTATACAATGTTCTCTTGTACTGGTACTTATACAACCTCGTCCCCAGGGCTTTTCTCTTAAAAAATGGGTGGGGCGGGAAAAGGCCCTGGCATCGGCTGGTCACGTGTCCCCTCGTACACCCTAAAATCCTGGGTGTAATAAATTAGCGCTATGTGAAAAGCTAAAATTATGCGTAACCTCACAGCACGCGATCTTGGGCGGCCTTTCATATCTCTTGACGATTAACGAAAAGTTTTACAAGGTTTCCTTTTTGTCACAGATACTGGCTATGGTAATTTTTTGCTTTCCTCCGATTTCTATGAAGTGGACAGCGAGCGGTAACATTTGTAAAACTTCCTTTACAGAGCGATATAAATGACAAACAAGCTATCGTACATGCATAAAGTTTGTACTGGAAAAGTTCGTTTTTGCGACTCTTTTGATATTTTATTTTATTTCTTGCGAAGTGGACCGCCGTATACAACCTAGTTCCATTCACCTTAACTCTCAGCCATATCATCATAGCGATACGCGTTGGTTTAGACTTATCTTGTATGACCTGTATTTTGAAAAAATTCATTGACCTCTGCGAGACTTGACCGAAACCGGAAACCGCGCATGAAAAGTCTCTGGCACCCAGGGTATCAAACGACTGGTAACAAAGAAAGACTTGCGTCCATTTTAAATTGTAGTTGATTCCAATCGATCGGTCAATCTTCCCTTTAATATAAGGAAAATCCTTTGTACCTATCCTCGGAAGAGAAAAGATATAAGAGATCTTCAAATGTTTCAGATCGGCGACCTGTCATCGTTCCTGGCTGGAGGGCTGACTTGCATCCGGTGCGGAGATTTGTTTGTTTCATGGTTGGGTTGTAGAGAAGACCAGACTCCATAAAGCATTTCGATGAACAATTCTATTTTAATTAAGTTCAATTTGTTTAAATTCACTGCAGATCCTAGAGGCAAAGGCCCGCATTTTTGTTTGACATTGGACAAAATCACTTTCCGCTTGATGATCGTACAGTAATTCCACAGTCACGATGAATTTCAGTCAAAGTACTACTCGATAACAGCTTGTCTCAACTCTGCAGCATTTGACATATTTTGTACGTGACAATGTAGAGCCGGTACGCCCTTTCATAAACTTGTAGCATTTGAATAATACGCAATTAAATGGATCTTAAGCTTTTGAATCGCACAGACGCGAAAATATTGACATACAGTTCGCGATATTATTATTTTCCATTGTTGCTCCGTTCGACTTCTGTCAGCGCAAAACCAGCGGGTTGCATATAAATTAGCTTCTCAGGAATATTTAAACTGTGCACGTGACCAGCCGATGCCAGGGCCTTTTCCCGCCCCACCCATTTTTTAAGGGAAAAGCCCTGGGGACGAGGTTGGTACTTATAATCACCTTATAAATGTATCATTCAAATCAAAACTAACTACAATATCCTCCTTACCCCCCCCCTTCCTGGCATTTAGGGTGGTATTAGTGTTCAAATTCCTCACTCCTTGCACCAAAAAGCCATTCAAATGCCCTACCCATCCTTGGTCCAATTTTAAGGTGATTAAATGCCACACCCTGTGAAAGACCAGGAAAAATGGGAGAATAATATTGAAAAATCTAAAAATTTGCAGTGTTACTTTAGCCTGAGTGCTTAATTAGTTGACAAGGCTGTTCTCTGAGTAAAATTGAAGGGAGCCCAGAGCTCTGAACCTGTAAAACTAGGGTGCCTGGCATATGATTCCTGTGAAAAAGAAAACAGAGGTTTTCTGGTCGCCTAGAACAGGTTGTTCAAAGCTATGCTAATTATTGATTCATATACTTTTTTACTTTATATTTTGTTGTACACAGAGGAGTTCGTGGCGCATGGATCCAATGTGTCTTGTCTATCACTGGGTCCCTCGTCAGGACGAGTAATGGTGACCGGTGGAGAGGACAGGAAAGTCAATATGTGGGCTGTAGGAAAACCCAATGTGATCTTGGTAAAACACTTTCTTCTGCTATCAGTACTGCACTCTTGTCATATAAAATTAAGATTATCAAAGATGTATTTTTTGGTTTGCCATTCTAAAAACCATTGTGTGAGACAGAATATGGCTGCGCCTTTGGCCAGCTATACACCTAGTTGGAAATATTCATTAAGTGAAAAGTGGTTTTGGTGAAGAACATTTTAAAAACTATTTTTTAAGTATCGGTATATGTCAGTGCAATTTAGTAAGCACTAGTAACTGCACATTTAGTAGCAACTCACTAGTACCAACATATTTAATATTATTGTCACTGGCCATTATTGCAGACCCTGTCAGGACACACTAGTCCTGTGGAATATGTTAAGTTTAATAGTGGCGAGGATCTGGTTATAGCAGGATCTCAGTCTGGAACACTCAAGATATGGGACCTAGAAGCTGCTAAAAGTAAGTTTAGATCTTGTTAGAGAGCTACCTGTCCAGTCTGCATGTCACACATGCCTATAAATATGTTGGCAGGACTTTGCTCTGGCTTTTATTTAGCTTGTGAGCAAGCTCTCTGGGCACTCTGGCAGCAGGGCGGAAAAAGGAAGGGAGCTTGCAACTACGTCTCTGGAATTTGAATATCTGCATTGAAAAAGTCCATGCAAAATGCTGATTTGTGGAGATGACATCAGCAATGACGTCATTATGTTTGTTACATGTTTTTCAATGTTTGCTTACATTCTTGCCCATTTCCGCTTTGCGCTGACTGGCGGAAATCTGACAGCTCAGTCGATGGAGAGCCACAGGGGAATTTGAAGTGAAATTAAAATTCCAGAGACATAGTTACAAGCTCTCCTTCCTTCCCCACCCCGCCGCAAGAGCACCTTGGAGAGCTTGCTCGCATGCGAGCTTTTATTGATGGTAGACCACATGCTACCAAATTTACATGGTAGACGTTGCTGGACTTTTAAATCATTTCCGTTACATTAGGCTTAGGAAACCCCTCGTTCAAACCCCTTCCTCCTCTTTGATTCTTCCCAGAGCAAACAGCCTACATATACATGTACCCTATTGGGTACATGTGCATATATTCCAGGCTACTGTGAAGGATTGTCAAAATGATAATGAAGGAGATGGATGATTAAAAATGGTAAAATAGTATCAATCACTTAGGGTCCAGACATAGAATACATGAATGATTTTGTTATGCAAAACAAAATACAAAGAACGAATTGGTTTCTACTTCCCCCCACATTATATCAGTATGGAACAATCATATTATGTATTGTCATGTAAAGCAGCATGATACAATTGTTATTTTTCAGTCTATCAACTGTTGGTTTTGTCGCTGAGTGATGTAATCATTTTCATTGATTGTTTTGGTATTTAAGGTGTTGTAATCACTAGGTAATGTTGTTTACTGAAAAGTTCCTCTAAAAGTTGCAGAGTTTAAGTGTTTTATTGCACTTTGTAGCAGCTCTTTAATACAGGACTCTTGTTTCAGTCGTTAGAACCCTTACAGGACACAAGAGCAGTATACGAGGTATAGATTTTCACCCCTATGGAGAATTTGTCGCTTCAGGCTCTTTGGATACAAATGTTAAGGTTAGCTGAATGACTGTCAGTTGGTATAAATAATAAATAAATAAATTTAATGCAAAAACGTGCACATGTACATGTACAATTTTGTTCAATTTACGATGATCATAATATTAACTGGCAATGGGCAATTTTGCACATTCATTTTAATTTTTTAAAGAGTATTCATATCCAATAATGTTTGGGTTCAATAAGAATTTTTTTATCCTTAGCCAAGATTTGAATTTTTTTGTACACTGTAAGTGGTATTATTAATTTGTAACAAAGGAAAGATTAATTATTAAAGCAAGAAATTAAAGACTTAAAGTGAAAGGTTAGACTTAATTGAACCAAAACATATACACAAGATAACTGATTTCAAATTGCATCTTTTCAGCTGTAAGTGTTATTGTGCAGCCTGTAGCCAATAGCAATTCCTGATGTGTGTATGCTTTCTTCAGCTCTTTTAGCCTTTCTGGTATAAATTAAATTACATCCCCTTTGATGAAATTGACAATAAATTTATACTTCTTTCCTTTGTAGCTTTGGGATGTAAGAAGAAAAGGTTGTATAGTTACGTTAAAGGTACTACTTGAAACCAAGCAAGTCATTAAATTTATTGAGTGTTACTTACTGAAAGGTTTAAGTAGTATTGAACTTAAACTTCTAGGGCCATGGGTTGGGAATATCCCCTGGCTACTTTAGGCATGATCCCTGGCTACTTTCAAAGGAAGCAAAGAAAAAATGAGAGAGCTGTCCAATTCCATGACTACTAATTGTGTAATAACCCAAAAAGTTGAAATCTTAGTGACAGCCTGTCTGTGGTTTAAAATGATTAAAAATTTAGTACCCTCGTGGCCTACTTATTTGCATTGTCAGGGCTCAAAATAATGGCCAGTCAACGGACGATGCCTGGTTTAGATGACCATTTCAGTTGCAATTCATTTTGACCGGTCAAGTGTATGGCTTTCAAATAAAGAACTGAAAAAATAAATTATATTCATTCACATTAATTATGTAAATTGCAAACACAGTTTAAATCATAAAATATTTTAAATAGCTACTTGCAGTTATAAATTCGGAGAATACAGATAAGACAGTCTCATTCTGGGGCTTTGTGAATGCTAATCAGCGGTTTGCTAGTTTTCAACATTTTGACAGGTCAGAAATGAGCCATGACTGAGCTAAACTTGTTTGGCCAGTCAATATGACTGGCCAATTTGCAAAGATTATTCTGAGCCCTGATTGTGCTCCTGTGTGGTTAAATCTGTTAAGTGCAATCTGGTCTGAAGAGCTACATTGTACATGATTTATGCTAATTTCATTACCTTTTTCTCTTTTAGGGTCACACAGATGGTATAAATTTTGTAAAATTTAGCCCAGATGGCAGGTGGATAGTTTCTGCTTCAGATGACAACACTGTTAAGGTGATGGTTCCTTATAAACGCATTCAGTTATTTTCCTAGGCATCTCTTTCTCCAGTACAATGTGTTATCTCCAGGGTATTTTGTCAAGGGTACAACAAAGGTGCTGTCCAATTTCCCCAAGCCAGTAGAATGACCTGTCAGACTAGCATGTTTTAAATTATGTTTTGTCTAATGAGCAAGGTTTTAAAAGTTTGGCATTTAGGACATAAACTTTAGCAATAAATGTTTTCAGTTTTTTTGGTAGGCAACTTTACAACTGCAGGGGCTTGGCTATTAAACTTCAGGAATTTTAAAATTTTAATTTTGGGATCCCCTGTTTTTGTATAAACAATTTGTGGGTAGACACACAATAAACAAATTAATTTATTATAATTTAATTTGATTGATTTATTATACTCCCTCAGAAAAAGGTTTTTTAGTATTCATCATTTCCATAACAACTAGAAAGTGATGTTTGCTGGCCATAGTAGATTCCAGGGAAAGCTGTGGCACCAACTAACCATGCAGATTAGGATAGAAACATTTTGTTATTTTTTTGGATTCTGCCACCTGGAGTAGGAAACTGGGAGAAGCCTATCTTGCCAAAATACTCAATGGAGTTTTCTTTTTTTATCTCTCTTCATAGTTATGGGATTTAACAAGTGGAAAGCTACTTCATGACTTCAAACAGCACACAGCGGCCGCTACATGTGTAGAATTTCATCCTAAAGAATTTTTGCTATCAACTGCTAGTAATGACAGGTTTGTGTTTAAGATTTTTTTTGCTGGTGACAGTCTATTTTATCTTCTTAATGTCCTTCAATTCTTAAACGATAGCCACAACAGAGGTGATAAGTGCCCCATAACTCAGCTCAGGTCAGAAGAAAGGGCAAGTGATAGCTAAGATATTCATTACCGTGGCTCTTAAAAGCCTGAACCCAATCATTGTATCTCCAATGGTGGTTATAGTCGAGCCATTTCTTGAAAACAAAGAGAAGATCATGGTAAAAAGTGAAAGGTTATTTTTTTCTATCAAACTAAAAGGTTATATGCAAAATTGTAGCTAAATTGGACCTATGCTATCTATAGGTGATAAATGTCTTTACATGTTGCTTATGTTTAATATTCATACTTTTCTGTCAATTTTTAACTTGTGAATGCTCTGAGCATTATGGGCAAGTTTTAGCAGTCATGCTGGGGGTGAAAGGCACTTCCATCACTCCATGGATCCCTCAGTATTTTGTTAGCCTTTTTTCAGATGGATTGGGAACTAGTTGTCTCCTGCAAATCATGTGCACTCTATTGTGTGTTGCTTTCACCTAGATAACCCTTTTCCCATTCACACACAGCAGCAAACTAGTTAATTGTTATCTGTTAACTTTTTACGCAAAATGATGGGAATTAGTTTTCACATCTCTTATCCCATGTGCATTCACAAGTTGACCCATAGGGTCCTTTGATTAAAAATGGCTATGAAAACAGTTGGTTTGTTAATTTGTGATTATAATGGTCTTGCTACAGGAGCATGGCTTTCTCTAGGTGAAGTTACTGGTTAACCAAGCTCTCAGCAACTGTTTCATCACGCCCCAGACAATCACATTGCCGTCCATTAAAAAATTCCAAATGATATTCTAAGCACAGTAAAATCAATGTTGATTTTCTTACCAGATCATTTACCTGTTAGAAATTTATATATATTTTTCAGGACAGTAAAATTCTGGGACTTGGAAACCTTTCAGCTTGTCTCTAGTACAGATCCTGAGACTGGTGGTGTAAGGTGGGTGAACTGCTTTATTTGACAGCCTATTAAGCACCGTTGTTGAAATTTTGCTTGATAGCTCTAAATTTTCTACAATTTTGGGCTGGGCCTTATAATGGGGATAACACAGTAGTTACTTTTAGCCACTATGAGGCTTGTGTACTTTTTGTCTTTCTTAGAGTAGGGTAGGGAGGGAGCGGAAGGGGTTGGACTTAGCAGAGAAGAAGGCTTTTTATATAATAGGAATCAAAGATGATGTAATAATTTCTAAAAGGGTGTCTAGCATAAATGGACAATCAGATCACTGTTTAGGTGATTTTGGCTTAATGTCAGCCCCATAAATTTGAAAACACAGCAATAACTTAACGTAAATAATCCAATGAAATAATATTATAGGTGGAAGAGCTGAAATAACCCTAGTCACTAGGGCCTCTTTTGTTTGCCAGAGAGGAGTGAAGGGGGTTTGAGGGGTGCTTAGTAGACTGTTTGTGGTAAAATAATTATATGAAGGCCAAAATCCTGTTTTTACCCAAAACACGTGGAATGTTAAAATACTGCTACATGTGTATTAATTTTGTTGCAGGTGCATCACATTTCATCCTGAAGGTCATTGCTTGTTCAGTGGAGCTCAAGATTCCATGCGAGTGTATGGCTGGGAGCCAGTTAGATGTTATGACAGTTTTTCTCTTGCCTGGGGCAAAGTTGCTGATATTGCAGTTTCTTCAAGCCAGTTGGTTAGTTATAGATACATGTATTGTACGTTCAATACACTTGTCTTGTATGTACATGTTCTTTACTTATTTGTGATCGAAGGTTTTAAAACTCCCAGAAAACAGATATCCCGTTGTCTTCATTTGTTAACATTTTTTTGTGTTATGGTCTTGCAGATTGGTGCATCATTTAATCAAACAAATGTTTCACTTTGGGTTGTTGATTTAGGGGTATGTATAATACATTGACAAATTTCTTTAGGCCAGTCTGTTTTTACATGCTGAATGAATTTGGGGCTGGGTTGTCTTCAGGGTTTTCATTAAGGATTCTAGTAGCCAGAGAAAGGAGTAACCTTATAGGAGAATATTTTGAAAGAGGCTCTACGTCAGAATAGAAAATAGTTGTAGGCTATTGAACGTTTGCTGGAGAATTCTGCATAGTAAAAGGAGAATTCTCTGATCTCCAATGCCTAATGAACACCCTGTGTCTTGTAGTCCAGTTTTAGTTTTGGGCCTTATAAAGCAACAGATCTCCCACACACACCCATCCCCTCCCCATTTTTGCCACTCTAGGGCCAATGATTTTCATTTTTGTGCTAGTTACCTATTCTAATTTTCATATGGGTTATATAGTTCCATTTATACACAGCTGGCAAATGGTGTTCAGCATGTAAGAAAACTTGTTAGTTCTTTGTGTCCTCAGACACCTTCCTTTCATCCAATTTGAGTTCTTCAAACAGAGAAAAAAGATTTTGATAACAAAAGTAATATTTTGATAACGAGTGATGTCCGTTTTCATTCATTGAAAGTTTTACAGAAGCCTATTTGCAATATTTCTCAGCCCATTGCCTAGGTTGTTTATGTGTAAAAGACAGTGCAGGCAATTTTTCTAACTGTATGTAACATTTTACTCCCTTATGATTTATTAAATGCAAAGTTATTGTATTACTAATCTCATGAACTTTTTTTTATCTAGCATTTAGAAAACCTCATAGCAAAATATAACAGTGAAGCAGCAGATGTAGGAAATCATGTGGTGAGTTTAAGCAGTTGTGCGAATTAAGGGAGCAAAATTAATTAGCCTAGAATAAAAGAGATAATTGAGTTAAATGTAAACAAATTTTCCTGAAGGTGAATTCTTAAGGACTATATCCAAGGTCAAAAGGTCACATCCTCCTGGTTGTAGTCAAGCAGCGGATGTCAAAGAAATGTGCCAAAAAGTGTGCTGCTACACGTGGAAAAGCTACTGTTTTGCTTATAACAACCGATATAATTCTTTGAAGTGTTTTTATTGCCTATTTTTGTTACGGTTGCCTAAACTCCCCGTTTGTTTAATGTGTACAAGATTACGTCATCATGAAAGTATGGGGATGGCCTTATTTTACAATTAATTACTTACAGAGATGTTAGTGAAAATATTCAGATATTAAAGTCAGGTGTTTGTCAGATTTTTTTTGTTCAAAACTCGTCATATAGTGGTCTTCAAATGATAAGGATGCTTGAGTTTTCCACCCCCTCTTTTCTGTGCACACAGATCTGGGCTTTGATGTAACTTGATTTAATACTGGAGGAGCTTTTGACAAGCAAGATAACCCAGTTTAACTGTAAGCTAAGGGGGATCCTTTAGTGCAATATGCCTCCTAGAGGATTTAAAACTTCACAAGTCAACTTTTATGCATTTCGTGCTGTTATGAAAAAAACAGCAGCAAGAATTCCGATGTAAACTCCTTTCATTAAAATAACGATTTGACAAGTATAATATGTTTTTTGCAAATAGGCAGGAATGCCAGGGGAACAAAAGCCAGTTCAAGTTGTACCTTCCACCAAAACGTGAGTTGTAGTCATGAAAATAAGATCAAGTTTTCTTAGTGTTCTAAATAAGATTATTTTTTTGACTACATTTTGCCAAATACAGCTATACATGTACTTCTCATCTGAGATTTAAGTGTTTAATTGTTATCTGACTGGGTCCAGGAGTGCTAATGATCAGGAAGTGATTCCTGTGTTCTGATCGTTTTCTTTTAATAAATCATTTACTTTTTTCACAGTCCCCCTAGAAAAGCCTTTAGTACAGAGAGACCTCAAACTACATCTTCAAAACCCAGGTTAGTGAAGTTTAGGGAATTGTATTGAATCCAGAAAGGCTGAAACTATCATGGTGTCAAACTTGCTTACAATCTATGTTCTACATTATCACAGCTTAACATACTCCTTAGTTTTCCACATATAGTAGAGGGATTCATCAATAGTAATACTTCATAAGTGAACAGAATTAATTTTGTTTTGGTTTAAAATTTCATTTTATTTTGTCAGACTTTGTTTTTCCTCATCTAAAATCATGATCAAAATAAGTATGCAAATAAAGTTGAAGAGTGTAAGAATATTAATTAAAACCCATTTTAAAATGTTCAACCAATGAATGAATCAATCAGTCAATCAATAAAAATAAAATTTTATATTTGTGGAAATTTTTTTGTTTACTCAGGTCTAAAGTGGAACAGTCTGCTATACCTGATGAATCTAATATTGAAGGAAAGGAAAAGAAGGATGAACAGAAACTAGGAGCACCTGAAGACATATTTAAAGCAAAAAGTAAACTGGGTGAGTTAAAATAGAAGACTTTTTTTGCGAGTGTCGTCATAGTCATATATTCACTGTCACATGTATCTTTGAGTTCTGGTCACTGTGCTTACTGCATATGAAGACTTACCACTGATAGTTCCACAAACATTATGCTTTTTGGAGTAATTGCTCAGTGTTAAAATAAATTTGTTCCTGCTGACTCCACAAGTTTATAATTATATATGTGCATGTGTTGCAATGCTTTTGCAATAATTTCCATCATTGAGAAGTAGGTTTCTATTCAGTTGACTGTATTTAAGCCATGTTAATATCAAAATAGTTTCCTACAATACTGAATAGGTACCAGTATCTTAATTATTGTTCCTGAAATTATCTGTAACCTGTTGTTTTCGAGCACTGCTCTTTATTGAGAGAGGGTGGCCACTGCACCCCATATTGTTCAATCTACATGTACCATACTTTTTAATTTCCACTATCCAGTTATGTTCTCCATCATTCTAGATCTCCTTTAGTTTTCAAAGTAAAATGGACGGGCGTGTTTTCTTTTAAACAGATCGTACACCTCCAAGACAAAAACATGAGCCATTTCAGCCTCCGTTAGAAGACCCTTTATCACCTGGTAAGATTTAGCAGTCAAGGATCATAAGTCTTGACTAAGAATTTACTTCCACCATAAGGCTACAGATGGTCTTCTCATTAGCATAGACATGCAGTTTACAGGTGTCATTTAGTTGCTATTAGTCTTATATGGTTTCAATCAAACAAATTCCCAAAGGAAACTGTTTGTATTTTTTTTCCAATGAGTGAAATAGAAAATATTAATTGTTGAATTGATTAATTTCAGGTTATGTAAAACAAGCACCCCCAGCATTCCCAGAACCTGTAAAAGCATCCAAGGTACCAAGGCTAATTTATGCTTTCCAGACATGTACTTAATATGAAAAAGCTGCCTCAGTCTGGTCTTTGAAATTGACCCTCCTAACATCTACCTCTGTTGGTAGAGATGTAACGAGCAGATTTTCCTATAAGCATAGTTTATGCAATGTCAAGACTGGTCAAATATTAAAGAACGTTGAAAAAACACTGAGTTCCATCTCACACCACTTCCATGGGTCTCTGTTTAAAAAGAGTTAAGGGAATAGACCCCTTGTGCTGTGGCTAAATTTTCATTGTTTCAAAAGGGTAGATTGTCAATTCACTGTGGTGAAAGAATTTGACTCAAACTTCAAATTAATTATGTTTTGATGATAATGATCAAGGAGCAAAGAAAGTCATTTTACAACTTAGTATTTCAAAAAACTGTAGTTAACATGTACTATCCCAAGACTCATTTTAACTAGCCTGAAAAAAATTATGGTGAGTGGAGAAAAGAAAAAAAAGTTGCATGTGACCTCACATGGTACCCTTTCCCTTTTAGCCTGTTTCTTCAAGTGAAAAAGCAAACAAACAAACACATATGATTCCATCTGAGAGAGACAAGCCTGCAGGACTGCAGCTGTCTGACTTCCTTCCCGTGAGTACCTAAAGCCTTACTTCTCACAGAAATAAGTGTTGTTGTAATTGTCTGAAGACACTCTAAAAAACATAAACCATGGTTATAATTAACCAAGTGATACCTAATGATTGTAACTATTGCCAACTCTAACAAGTGTGTGAATTTTAGGCATTCTACTAATGAACAATTATGACTTTTAGGTAATTTGGGCAACAACAAGCCTAACTGCTTTGAATACTGGTTTAAGCTGAGAACACATTTTTACCTTCCAATTGCATCTGTGAAAAATGTGACACATTTTGTTCTTATTCTAGGCCAGAACACCTGTGGTTGATGAGCCTTCAAAACAGGATGTTTATAATCAGCAAAACAATCAGCCACAGTATCCCTCTATATCAGAATCAGAAGCAGTCTCTACGCTCACAAAAAGTCAGTTAAATTTACTCTGCTTTGTAAGAACATTATTAAGCTGGTAGAGAAGAAACAAGGGTACAAAATGCGTGAATGCATATTGGTTGCACAGTTGATCAAGTTCTCGAATATTTTGCATTGACATTGAATGGAATTTTTTGTGGTAAAGAACATTATGTTAACAAAAACAACAGCCCAAACATCATTTCAACTGGCCCCAAAATGAACTTTGATGAGACAGGGTTGATTTTACAGTTCTTCTGTAATTTTCCCGAATTCTAAAAAAGTTCCCCGCTACTTTTATTGGATAATAGAAGAAAAATAGAACCAAAAGAAATCCCTAGCCATTTGATTCCCCTCCTACTTGTTGTATTGACCTGGCAACTTGAAATCCTAGTGACAACCCTGAGTGGAACTAAGCAATAAAGTCAAAATTGACCTGAAATCCAATTTGACCCTTAATGTATACCCATTTTTTTAACAGGTCACGGATCCATAAATGCTATCATGACATCAAGACTTAAAAATCTCAGTATTGTTGCTAGATACTGGGGTGATGGAGACATAAAGGTGAGTAGAATCTTGACACAATGATAGTGCAGCCAACTGTAGTAGTGGAAATCAATATTCAAGTCATCTGGTAGCCTACCAGCCAGTTTGTTTTGAGCAAAATCCCTCTCGATTAACGTAGATGAAAAGTACCATAATGCCTGAATTAGCTATAGTGTAAAGTTTCAAATAGGGTCTTCCTATTGAATTAACACCCCCATTGAGGACACTGTTTTTATGTCTTCTACTGGTGATGGTGGGAACACCTTTTCTACAAGTTCATCCAAGATATACAAGGGTCTAGGCATTATTTTGTAGGGTAAAGTCAGTACCTTTTTTTTCTGTTATTTTAATACCCTGGGTCCAGTTGTTTGAAAGCCGATTAGTGCTAACCATGGATTAAATTTTAATCTGGGTTTTATATTCTTTTGTTCAAAAGCATTTTCTCAGATAATTTTCACTATTAGAGCATCAATTCATTACATTGCAGGCAAAAGGAATAAAACTGAATTTGCTTTTTAAGCTTTCAAATCTGAATTTAAACTTCACACTAACCCTGCCTTGAACAACCCGGCCCTGATTAGACAAGTCTAGCCCCGGGAATCAAACCCATGACCTCGCGCTCTGCAGTCAATTGTTAGTCCTGCCACAGTGCCCCCCTAGAATATTAAATAAGTGTGTCTGTTAAAGAAAGGATATGCCTTTGAGTTGTGATGTGCTTAATATTAACCATTAAATTTTGGATTACTTTATTTCAGACTGCAGTACAAGTTTCTGTAGATATGAATGACCAAGCTGTGTTAGTGGATGTACTTAATGTTCTTTGTTTGAAACAGTGAGTAAATGATTTCATAGGATTGCTCGTTTCTCTTGTTAGTTATTAAATTATTCTCTTGATAGTAACCTTGCTATAACTTACATCATCAAATTAAGATATTTAACTTTATTAAACTTTAATTTGCAATCCAAGGTTTAATAGTTATCTTGTTCTTCATAAAGCCATCAAATTCTGATATTTAACTTTATCTAACATATTTACATGTACATTTCTTTGGTTCTAATTCAAAGCATGTTGAGGTTTTTTTTTCGGGAGAACTGAATCAGTGTTTTGTAATTATCAATAATAATACAAGGTTGGGAGAAGTTGTAATAATAACAAGCAAAATCATCTTGTTGATCATGACCATTCTTGTGACCATCCTGTGTTATGTGACATTGTTATTACAAGGAGAAATTTGATGCTGATCTGTTAAGGGTTAATGAATTCAATTTGTTCATTTTAAGGACTTTGTGGAATCTGGATGTGTGCTCTCTTCTTCTTCCTCATCTTAAAGACCTCATAAGTAGCAAATATGAAAGGTGAGTTATAAAAGAATCTTATGCACAATACTATTTTGAAGGGCTGTTTGTCTCTGGAATATTTTAGTAACCGCAAATTTATGAGATTGGGAACTGCTTGCATGCATGGTGCTTAAAAATCCAGGAGGGAGGCATTCTTGGAAATCATGGAGCTGCAACCATCCAGCAGCCGTTGCTAACAGGCACTGGCACATCGTATTTACCTACAGCAATACTTACCTCCAGAGATAATTCAGTTCTATCCAGGATAGGGAGGGTGGGACTGAGGTATAATGGAGCACTGTTATGGAGAGGGGGGTAAAGTGAGAGTGCAATGTGGCCTCAGGTTTGTCGGGCACCTAAATGACAAAGAAATGATGACCCTTATTGAGTATAAAACAAGGGAATGTGTCTGCCAGGACAAACATAAGAGGTTTTTGTTCCAAGTTTTGTCTATATAGTTAACAAAATTAACAGAAAATGAATCTTTCAACAGCTATGTACAAGTTGGGGCAATGGCAATTAAGTTAATTTTGCGGAACTTTGCTCCTGTCATAAAAAGCAACATGGCAGCCCCTCCTGTTTCTGTGGGAGTTGACTTGGTCAGGGAGGAGAGGTGAGTTAAAAATTTATCAAAATTTGTTGTCTTGAACAACTTTGTCAAACAATTCCTTGTCCATTCCTTTGTAGTTATATGTAGGTTGACACGTCATTCATGCCCAATATGCACTCTGTCATTATTGAGTTGAGTTAGTCCACATCCATTGAAGTCCACCCATCTTCCAGAATGTTCAGGTCATGATATAATGCAAAAGGAGTAAGCATGTCAACTTCTGGAAGTCAGATATTAGGTCCTTGTAATCTGTCAACACCTTTCAGCCCCAAGCATTTCCCTCAAAAATGACTACCTTTAGTCTGTCTTGACAGGTTGTTTGTTGATCAGCACTCCCTCCTCAAATATGACAAGTGTCATCCTTTCCATGTCTATTGTTTCTTCATCCATGACCTAGGTTGTTCATCATATTTCAACCTGACTTCATTTTAGTTAAATAACAGTTGTCTTCAAGGAGCTCTATCACCACTTTTTGGTGTTGTTTTTCAAGTCTAAAACACTTTGTCATCATTGAAAACCAAACATTAACCCCTTTTGCTTTGAGGCTGACCAACCGTTAACTTCTTCCCCGTAGTAAAACTACTCAAACAATGATTAAGTTAAGGTATACAGGGAATTATAAACAAGTGTAAATTCAGTTCTTGACAATTAAATAAATCATAGGAAGTGTATCATAGAAAGTGTGTGGAGAATATTTCACGGTGATATTCGGATTTAAAAGGTTTAATGGTTCAAAATTATTACTCTATACTTTTCTCATTCATGTAAAATGTACAGTGTACTTTCCTTCATGAACGTATTGCCATTAATATTTATCACAGGTATAACAAATGCCACAAGTGCTACTCTCACCTTCAATCCATCCGAGAAGTTCTCTCCAGTAAGACAAGCGCCACGGGAAAAATGGGAAGCCTGTTTCGTGAGCTGTCACTAGCATTTTCCTCCCTGGATTAACTAACTGCCATTACGGTAGCAAAGGTAACCGTTAAGGAAGGACTTGAGGCAAATGTCTGAAATGATGTCAGAACATCTGTTACATTGGCTACTGTAACCCCACTGTCTCATTTTTGGGGGGACAAGGATCTTGCGGCAGCAGGAATTAGCGCTTGAGTAATTGTTAATTATGTGGATTTTGAACTGGAAGTAGCCTATTAAGTCAGGGTCAAGGAAACGTACCTCAAATTTAACTGAAGGACAGTGTTTCTCAATGTGATGTTGGCTGTGGTATCAGTAATGGCTCCTAAATGTGTAATTTTATCCTTTGTTTAAATTATATTTTCCTTTGCTTTCATATATGGTAATTTATGGTAATGAGTTTTCAAACATGGGAAATTAAAATTTAAACTAAGGTTAGATCAAACCACAACATACACTTGTTCCATCAGTGCCTTTACTGTTTCTGAAACACTTCAATTTACAAAAGTGAGCTTTCAGTTGTTGTAGTCAAAGAAGGATTTGTAAGTGTTGTTGTCATTAAAGAAGTGCATGTTGTTTTTCCATTTTGCACTTAATCGGTACATTTCATCAGCCACAGGTACCAAAACCTGCTTAATAGAAGTTTGCAGAACATTGAAGCATTTCCTGCTAGCAGAGGTGTCCCAGTTTTCCCTGGTATTCAGTGGGCAAATACCAGGGAAAAGAGGCCTCTGAAGCAACACTCAAGCTTTTGTTTTTGTATAATATCACTAACTGATTATTGTTAATTGAGATTCTACTTGTGAAGCAAGTTAATATTTAACTTGGATAGAGGAAAAAAAGTGCGGTAACCCACCAGCTAACACACCAAGAATTGAGAACACTAAATGAACAAAGAATATGTCGAGCATTATAATTATGATGAGCTTTTGCACTCTCTAAGTGCCCTTCAAAAAAAAAATCTTCTTTCCAGATGTGACTTAATATAATATGGACCTTATTACTAGAATATTAATTTCAGACATACTATGGAATTCTGAAAGCACCAGGCCAAAGGGACAGCAACTCTTGGGTAGCTGTTACTTGTGGGTCACTAAAATACTCAAGTAACCAAAGGAAAACTTTTAACCCAAAGGCATGATAAGTGCAATGCCACTAAATATGTCAAGTCCTCATCATTGATTCACAATAAAACACTAAGCTGCTCCATCTGCAAGACACCTCACACAGTTCTGTTGTCAATGATTTGTTAAGCTCAGTCCCTACATTAAATATGTGGTTCTTTAAAAGTTCCCTTAAGATGTGGTTGGTTCTGTACGTTATTTGCCATTTTCATGTTGAAGCTTGTTTGGCTTTGGGCTCTACAGCAGGCAACCAAGGGCAAAACGCGAAAGGTCTGAAAATTGATGTAACTTTTGGAGTACCACCAGTTTCTGTAATTATGTGGAGGGTCCAAAATTTAATGATATTAAGAATTCAGGTTGCCATTCTTTTTAGGGACCACTACTTTGCAAACTCTAAGTGATGTCATTCAAGGAAGCATTTTTTGCAAATTACTTGTTAAGGTATCGGCAGGGCGTTGTCATGCAAGATAGAATATGTCAAACATATCATCACAACAATTATAAGGATGTCAGCTGTGCAGTGTAGCAAGTTGCCAACTGTCAGTGCAAAGTACTTCTAATGTTAAGGTTGTGGCTTTATTATTGAATGTTAGGTATTGATATGACAGTCACTATCAAAGCAGGAAAGTGCAAAAACACTTAAATGTAAATCCAAAATGAAGTGCCATTAACTTAAAGGTCCATTTCTGGAAGTAAAAATCATTAATATTTTTGTGGCCTTTCACGTTATGAAAAAGCGGAATTGAAAGTTGCAAGTGAAGTGTACAATTAAGGTACTCTTAGGAGTCTTAAGTTGGAAATTGGCTGCTATCACAGTAAAATGTTGTCACTAGATTTCCTTAAGCCATTAGTCATTGAAAGCATTAAGTACAGTACTTATATGTAAGTGCCATCAAGGAATTTCCAAAGTCAGTGTGCATGTAGACCTCTGTAAATAGAAGCTTTTCAGCCATGTTAATGATTCTTAAGTATGATCACTGTATTTTGCACGTGAATAGCATAACGACTCTAACTGAAGTAAAAGCGATAAAAAACTATCACAGAGCATTAAAATATGTTTCTAGAGATGTTGTCTTGTCATTTTCTTATTATTCAGCCTGCTACTATGCTAACAATAACTAGCACCTAGTTTCTCATTACTTTTTCAATAATCAAGTAAAGAGGTCACGAGAAATGATCAGCAATGTCCACCAAATTCTCCTCATTGATACCATAGGAAATAGAAGGAAAATTATGGTAACTTCTTATTGCTATGCATCTGTTTAGTCATAGATCGCAGATCTCAAGTATTGGGGAGGAGGGGAATTTTGAATTGCTTTTCCAAGATTCTGGGAAACTCCCCACTCAGCCCTCCCCTAACCTACTTTTAACACCAACTTCTCACTTGTTGCAAAATGTTGGTCTAGGGGAGAGGTAAGTGAAGTGGGTAGGTTTCCATAATCTTAGCCTTGCATGCAGACGTTCTGAAGGCTTTGTCGCACAAATTAGTTGTGGAGGATTGCGTGACAAGCCAAAAGAGCATCTGCATAGGTGGCTATCATAACCTGGGCGTTTCTTGGTGTTGCTGATCTGTTAACTGGAATGAATTTTTCAAGAGGGTAAGGAAAGGGGCACTGAATAGAGGAAACGAGTTGAAAATGTAGTCAAATATGGAACTTCTAAAGCTGATAATAGTTCATTTTTATATCACTAAATTAATAAACAGCCATTATCAGATGTATATGCATTATTGATCAATCGTGAGGTCAAGATAGCTTGATATTGGTCAAGTTCTCTTGTGCATTTTTATTAACCGAGATAAAGTCAAAGTCAATCAAAAAGCCAAAAAGAAGGAGGCCAATAATTATACAGCTATATTGACCAAACAAGCTTGGTCAATAAAGGATCTGTTGTATAGCCAAAAAGCCATAAAAAGAGTACTTTTTCTTGCGGGACCAATGCGGGAAATCCCAAGTGGGAAGTGGGGTAGCCAATCAGATCACACTATTTTCTTCATCTTGCCCGCTTGGCGATTTGGCAATAATATCATTAAAAAAAATACTAAAATAATTGATTTTCACAAATACAATGTTCAATTGCATCATTATTTATTCAGAGTATTATTTAATAATATTAATAGTTGTATACTCAAACAGAACATTCATGGCATATGCATAGTTTATAATAGTATTATTATTCTTCCAATACATAAAAATTCTATACTTGTTTACAGCAAGTTTTTCATTACTACAAAACCTTTTAATACTGGTTCTGACATTTTCAATTAAAATGTTCTCTGAAACTGCGCATGAAACGAATAACACTGCTTATATCTTAACAGCAGAGTAAATAATCACTGCCTTTACTCCTTACGACGCTTTATGCTCGTCAAAGGCCTTAAATAAATGTTAAATAACCTAAATATACTTTCAAATTCATATATTATTTTAACTAAATCCTATGGAAGCTCAACAGCTTGTATGGTGAGATAATAAGGTTGCAAAACCTGTTTTGATGAATCTTATACCAGTTGAGTATGCTACAGCAGAACCCTGCCATACGACCACCCTCTTATTATGACCAGTTCATTATTACCACCACATTCGTTTGACCCCAACATGAAAAACACTAATTAACTTTAATACTTTGAAGACCTGTAATACCACCACCTCACTTATACGACCAAGTGTTCACAACCCAATGGTGGTCACATTGACGGGGTTCCACTGTATTCCACATCCATGAAATTTTAGCAAAGCAAACTAAAATGTTAAAATGTTAAGTTACCTCTTGAAAGCACTGATACTTAACCACACAAAAAAAATTATTCCACGTTACATATTAGTGTGGCTAAAAGCCTTGATTCTATAGTTTTTAAGTAAAAATCAGGGGTAAAATTTTAGATTGACATTTTGACTGCACTTCTGTTCAGATAGTTTACCCTCGATTTTATTATTCAATTGGTTTAAAAATTAAAACACCATGTCAGTTTGTGAAGAAAAAACTTTTAGTTAGCTTGAGAAGAAAGCCAACACTTTTTTGCAATACCACCACTTTATTTTTCTGCAAAGTGACATCTGAGAAACAAGTGTAGAAATTTCATATTGATGATGCACCACTACCCAGATCTGGGTAATGCTTCTGATGGCAACAACCAATCAGAACCAGCATCTAGATCTGGGTAGTGACACGTCATCAGTTTGGAATTTCTACACTTCGTCCATCCTCAGATGTCATTGCACAGGGAAACCAGTGGTGGCATTGGCTAATGTCAGCTGTTCTCTCTCGGGTGAAAAGGATAGTCTTGCTTATAACTATAAAAATAACAGACTCCGTTTTCAGAGTCATGGGATAAAAGGAAGCTGTGTCAATACCACTGGTGTTCTTCCCAAAGACTTTCCCAATTTTTAGTTACTTCTTTTCAGACAGTAAAATACAGGTTATTGCACCTTTTAAAACATGTGAACAACTTTGAAATTTAAAACCTATATTTCAAGGACAGAATTAAAAATTTTTGGTAGCTTTTATAACAGCTAGCCAGTGCTTTGTTTTCTTGACATACAAAACTAACCATGGCAGTGTTACTTAACTATTAATTTTTGCCATTTTGTTAAAATAATTTTAAAAAAATAACCAAAATTAATAGTTGTTGACTTTCACATGTTTTTCAAAGGTGATAACTTACAACTAATCATGACTAATAATAATTATTAATAGTGACTTATCCTTAGTTTACCTTGTACTTAGTAAAAAAGGTTCATGAAAATAACTTTAATTTAAAAAAAAAAAAAGAATAAAAAATATGTGTAAAAAGGCTTAAAACAGGTAACCCCTAAACAAAGAAAATAATGTTGTTGCTGTACTGACTAAGGAATTTAGTGTTGAAGTTATGGTATAACTGTATTTGATCAATACATTCTCTCTAAATTATCCTATGTAGTTTTTCCTTTAATTTGTGAACATTCAGTTTTTGTATCTTACACTTGTATACAACAACCTACCTGGTAGGGCAAGCCTTCTCTAGGGATGGGCCAGCACTAAATTTTGTTCTGGTTGTGGTGCACAAGTCAAATGAGTTGGGAGGGGGTGGGGGGAGGGAGATTTGTTAGAACATGTGATTTCCTCCCCCTCCTCCACCTGTACTGAATTCTCTAGCCCTATGTCTACCCTACTGATCAAACTTCTGTGTCTCACCGATCTTCCTCTACCTCTGCTTAAAAGTTATACCTGGTGACTATATGCAGGAAATACCAAGTGCTTGCTTGCCCGAAAAATATGCTGCAAGGTTGTCAATAGATTTAGACAAAGACTAGATTGGAATCGGTGAATTTGCTCTTTTTATCATTCAAGTCTATCAGTGGTTTTTCAGTTTTTATTGATGTTCATTGCAGTTTTCATCACTTTTTCACTTTTCAATAAAAAAAGAAACCAATGCTCTCTCCCAGAGATTTGATCATTATTATTCCTGGTCAGAAGAATTGGGTTTCTCATGCGAGTGTGATCAAAACATTAAAATGGTAAAGAGAAACAAACAAGCAAAACACAAAAAATAATAAAACAAAACAGAGGAGTGGGTGTTCAACATTCTTTTGAATGAGACAATTTTTATATTGCTCTTATGAATGCAAATAATAATAACTATTGAGTATAATGTTTGTTACTGTTAGTGCTGGAAGGATATGCTTAATTGAGCAATATTTTTATTTTTTAATTAATAATATTGAGGTCAAGAACCTCATTTACTTAATATTTTCTATACAACTTGTTCTAACTCTGATATAGCTGGTATTGATATAATATTATACTGTCACCAGTCTCATCCTTGCTATTTTTTAGTTCCATTTGCTGAGTGACCTCTTAGTTTTGTCTGAAACAAGTTAAATGAATCTTGTGAGTTCTCTGCTACTTCAAATCAGTTTGCATTTTATGCCATTGAGGGGTTGTTTCTTGGTGTTTGTAACTTCTGCAATGCTAAGTAACGTACTGCAGCCATGATTAAAGTTCATGGGTCCCTAGGTTAACTTCTAAGATCTCACAATTTTCCATACATGTAATAAAGTAACTCTCTTTTAAGGGGCAGTCAATAACATCAATGAAAGTGAACTAACTTGTACATGTCCTTCAATTCCTCCACTTAAGTTGTGTAAAAAATGTATACCAATAATTGGTATACATTTTTTACACAACTTAAGTGGAGGAATTGAAGGACATGTACAAGTTAGTTCACTTTCATTGATGTTATTGACTGCCCCTTAAATGAGAGTTTAAAATTAACAGGAAAATTTGAATGGGTTGTTCCAGAAAAAATCCACACCCCCCCGACGGATGGGATTCTGGAAATTCTCGCGGGAGGGGGGGTCGAAGACTCCGGAAATCCAGGCGGGAGGGGGGGTTGACCTTAAAAAAGTCTTCTGCAGGGGTCATTTCGACCGATAGTTGATACAAATCAAACGTTTAGTTCGATGACACTTAAGCGCTTTCAGACCCTGAAAATAGTCAAAATGTTTTGTTCATATATTTCTCACCTGACATAAATGATAATCTAAGTTGCTTTACAGGTCCTTTTATAGCAGAAAACGCGAACAAGATACTAAAGAACGGGCCTGAAGGAACTCGCAACGTTGTTGTCACGAAGAGCGTCAAACGCCTGACACATTTCTACTCGTACCCAGAGCCCGCGCGCGAAGAGCGAAGAGTGATTTTTATAAGCTAAGAAATTATGTAAACGCTCGTTCAGGTGTCGTTCGCATTTTTGTTTTTTGCTCCTTTCGTTCTTAGTTCCACGCGATAGAATTCTTAGTTTAATATAAGCTGAAGCTTTAGAAATTAAAACAAAAACATTTAGACGTGTTTGCGTGTATTTTCCATTAAAAATAAATTAAATTTAAGCCTTTTATTTTTTCCCGGAAATCCAGGCGGGAGGGGGGGTCTTCCACCTTGGAAATCCAGTTGGGAGGGGGGGTCTTGTGCTTCAGGAAATCCAGATGAGAGGGGGGGTTAAAAAAGGACCCCATCCGTCGGGGGGGTGTGGATTTTTTCTGGAATAACCCAATCAAGGGAAAATGACTCTGTATAGTACTAAGTTCATGTTAACCAAGTTGACTGATGAAACATAATCAAGGGTCACACTACTGGTAAAATTGATTATTTTTGGGACATGCCTACCTATAAGCACATGTCTGCATAATTCTACAGAATATGGTGATAATCTACTGAAAACCTTTTTTGATTTTAAGTATCAGTTCAAAGTTTATCGGTTCATGTTTCCCTGCCCTTTCTGAGAGCACTTATCATTAGTCTGGTCCCAGTTGTTCAAACAGTGAATGGTACTATCCTCCAGGTTTTATCTCTACCCCTTAGATAACGCAATA